AAAAGAGGGTCACCTGGGTGGCTCAGTCGGTTAAACGTCTGACTCTTAATTTCAGCTCACGTCATCATCTCAGGGTCGTGAGATCAAGTCCCATGTGGGGCTCTGCACTCAGAGCAGAGTCCGCTTGGGATTCTCTCTCTCCCTCTGCCCCTCCCCCCGCTTACACATGTACATTCTTGCCTGCGCTCTCAAATAAATCTTAAAAAAATGACTGAAAAGCTTTACATTTAAGGTCAGGAACTTTCAGCTTTTCATTTTTGTTGTGTCTGCTTTTGTCAGTTAATAAATGCTAAGATTTTAGTAATGACTAGAATAAGCAATATGTATTGCAGAAAACCTATTCTGAAGAATATTTTTGATCGGAATAGAGGCATTTTCATCTGGTCAGGACTAGTCTCTTAGTAGCCCAAATATTTTATAAGATTGAGCACAGAGCAGCATGCCTGATGGGTACCTGATAGATTTTTTTTTTCTTGTGACCAAAGAATTGTCCAAAGTCTTCACTGCCTATCGAAGACCCCAATCCAGAATGCAGCACTAAATCTGAGAGGAATGGGGGTACCCCTCTGTGAATCCTCTGGAGCAGGAGGAGGAGCAGTATCCCTAGAAGAAGTAGGAGTGCTGCTTCTGGAAGAAGGGAGGAATGGTGGGCCGGCGGGGAGCTGCCCTTGTCTGAGAGGGGAGAATGCTGTCGGAGGGGATTTGAGCCTTACTGGTTATCACGTGTCTTGGACTTCCCCTTTCCTTTGTTCAGTGGCAGGCCTCTCCAGTCTGCCTCCCTTATTTATACATCTTTAACTAGATACTGAAATATCACCATTTGTCTGCAGAAAAATAGAAATAAAAATAAAACACGACACAAATGTCCATAGTTCATTGCTGAAGACAAATGCTCTTGCCTGTGAACCATCCATAAGGACTTTCTCTCCGTGTGAGTTCACCCTGTTTTCTCTGATTTGATCCCTTATGAGCCTCCTTCAAATTTCAGAGGAAATCTGTCAGTTCCTGGGGCTAGAAAGGGGGGGAGCGTTTTAGTATCATGCTTCACTGATGACCCAGGCACTCCTATCTTCTTACTTTAAGATAATTTCCTTGGGTTATATTTTCAGAGATTGAATTATTGGAACAAATGATATTTTAAAGATTTTATTTCTTTGAGAGAGACAGAACATGAGCAAGGAGGGAGGAGACAGAGGGAAAGGGAGACAGACTCCCCGCCGAGTGGGGAGCCTGACACAGGACTCAATCCCAGGACCCCGGGATCACGACCAGAGCTGAAGGCAGATGCTTAACTGACTGAGCCACCCAGGTGCCCCTCTTTGCCACTTTTTATTTGCTTGTTTAGAACTGCTTTGAAGTCATTTCCTATTGCTGCCATAGCAAGTTATCAGAAATTTAGTGGCTTAAAGCAGCACAAATTTTTTCTCTTGCAGTTTTGGAGGTTAGGATCTTACTGGGCTCTAATCAAGGTATCATTTGGGCTGCATTCTTAGGGGGCCTCTAGGGGAGACCGTTTCCTTGTATTTCCCAGCTTCTAGAAGCCCCCTGCACTCCTTAGCTTGTGTTCCCTTGCTCCATCTCCACAGTCCCCAGCACATCATCTTCCAGTCTCTCTCTCTCACCGGCTCCTGCTTCCCCTGTCACATCTCTGCCTCACAACTACCCCTGTGATTACACTGGTTCCACCCAGTAATCCGGGATAATTCCCCCCTCGACATCCTGAACTTAATCAGAGCCACAACGTCCCTTTTGTCCTCTAAGGTAATGTCTTCACATGTCCTGGCTTTAGTGTGTGGACATCTTTGGGTTGGGGGGTGTTACTGTCTCCCACCACGTACTCTTTCTTCTCTTGTTCATCTCTCTCGAAATTTAACTCATTCTTCAGGATTTTTCCCAAAAGCCACTTTCTAAAAGGAAGCATCTGGTAGTTTCCTTCAGTTTTCTCTTTCGACTACTGTTAAATGTTGACTTTCTGAGATAATTTTCATTTCCCGTTTTCCTTTTCATTTCCATTTCCAAATTATTTGTACACATGTATGTCTCTCCCACTTAATTGCCATCTTGCTGAAGGACAGGGACTGTAGTTTATATCTTGAACTCCTAAATTTCCTCTAAGTTATTTAGTGGGGGAGGGGTGCAAGGATCTGCCTATGGGGAGTGTGAGCCATGGGTGTCTCTTTGTATGCACATTGAACATGTCTAATTGGATATACCCTGGAACTGGTGCTTAGAGTGAAAAAAGCAGGATATCCTCGTTTTTGGTAGTGGAAGCTAGAAGAGGCCTCTTGGTAAAAATAGCTTAAAATGTGAATCAAAACTTTGTAGTAATTAGTGGGAGCTGGAGGGGGAGTTTTCATTGAAAAACTATCTTGAAAAATATGCTGAAATTATAAAGGTATTTTATAACTAATAGATAATTTTTCAGTAATAAAGAACTAATGAAGTACATTTTGACCCAAATACATAAATGTAATTATTCATATTTCAAGGATAGTTTGCTTTCAAGTTGGTATCATGTGCCCTGATTTTCCAACATGATTTTCTAAGTAATAAAACATCTTTTGCAGTATCTTACTGTTTCTTTTAAAATAGGCACAGAACCTATGTATTCCTCCACCCCCACCACTCCAATATCCTAAGGAAGGACTGGCATTATTTGGCAGTCCATCTGATATTCCAAAAGGAGTGGACTTTGCACTGTTTGAATCTGGCCAGTATTGGAAAATATTGGTTGAAAATAGATTATGGGCATATAACTGATATGAATATAAGAAAATTTCTGTAATAAATTTTATATTTTAAAAACATAATTTTTCAGCATTTTCCTTGGATTTTCGTAATTCACTTATTTCCTAATAATTACAAATTGAGACCACAGCTGTAGCAGGCCGACTGCAGGCCCTCCTGTCTTCAAGTTAAGATCTCAGATGTTTGTAAGCTGGAACTGACATATGGAAGGTGCAGATAGCCGGACTTAATTACTTCCTCTTCGATGTTTTCAAAACGTCTTGTAGCTTTTTTTTTTTAAGTTTGTTTGTTTGTTTGTTTATTTATTTATTTATTTATTTATTTAAGTAATCTCTACACCCAACATGGGGCTTGAACTTTAGGACCCCAGGATCAAGAGTTGCATGCTCCTCCAACTGAGCCAACTTTATGATTAGTTGTCTTTTCTGCTTTTCTTTTCTAGAAGGTGAACTTTTGGAGCACAGGGGCCAGGTCTTTTAAATTTTTGTTTCCTCAGTGCCTAACATGGGTACTTAATAAGTGCTTTTGGAAGTGAATTGACTCCTTCCTAGGAAGGGCTTATTTTCTAGCACATTACCCCAAACTCGTGGTCTTATCTGGATGTGTTAAGAAGAAGTGTTTTCCCTTTTATGTGCTATTCTATGCATCTTTAAGTCAGGCAGAACCTATTACTTAAGTTGAGTGAGTGAGTCATTTATTCATTTGTAGCCTATTTTCATCTTATTTTAATGATGCCGAAGAAAATAAAAACAAACTTTATAAATGTGGATATGATGCACATTACTGACTGTGCATGAATTTTTTCAAAACTGATGGTAGTATTTTTAGGGTAACTCCTTTTGTTGTCTATAATCTAAATCTAAGCATGTGGTGCTTCACTGAATTGACTTATATTTTGACTTTTCTCTGGATTAGATGGAATCCAGGCAAACATTCCTTCTAGTCTGCTTTCTTTTTTAAGTGTTAAACATAATCTTTATATATTTCAATTGAATTATTTCTTTTAATTTAAATTAAGAGACCCAGAGATCTCCCTAAGTAACATTTTGAGATCTCCCCTAAGTAACATTTCTTTGTTTGAGTCAACATGTGGTTAGCCAGGTTTAGGGTAGGATGACTAAGAATCTTGGAACAAACGGATTTTCATGATCTAAATTGTTTGCTAGTATCTACAAGCTGATTAGGGATTCTTACCTTGGGATTCTTGGGTGTTTTCTCAGAGTCCATGAACTTCCTGAAAATTTGTGCTAGATTTATGTGCATATGTCTGCATAATTTTCCTGGGAGTGTGTTTACGGCTATTATAATCTCAATCGAACATATGGATTCTAAAACGTTAAGGACTTCTCACGTAAATGCCAATACTGTAATTATCCAGTTCTTCTGGTATAGTGTTTATACAACTGGACAAATACTAAAAACTGGCAATTGATGTTATGTTGGTTGGCTTGCATCCTCTAAAAGGAAAGGTGAGGTTACATAAAAGGATGATTCCTCTTGTCTCTTAACTCCGCCTGGCCTGTCTCTAATTCATGTCACCTGGGTTCCTGTGACCCTTCTTTGACCCCTCTGATCCTCAGTCTGTGGGGCCCTTTTCTAGGCCATGGCAACCACAGCACATAGTTCCAGGGACAGTGCTGAGCCCCACATAGACCCAGGATATACTGCCCTCTGCTAACTGTGTCTGCTTTTAATAATTAGTTTCTTTCTGATGCTTGGTTGTCATTTTTCATGTTTGTTGTTTCTAATGCAGTGAGTCTTTGGCCAGCATTCCAGCCTCCCCTCCAGTTCCCTTCAGTTCCTTGTTGGAGTGGGTGGCTTGCTGAGCTGGCATGTTCGGATTGGGTAGTGAGTGAGGCTCTGAGTGTGAGGGGGCCAACAGTGGAGTGAGTGCTTGGGGTTGGGAGCAGCTCTTCTGGATATTCAGTGCTCAGTTTCCCTTTTGGTGTTGAGTTCTGGAGGATCAGTGGGGCTGGGTGATAATTCTGTGTAAATGAAAGGCATATGCAAGGAGACTGTTAATTCCCTTGAAACTGTCACAGACTGAGCTGTTCTAGTGATTTCCTTCCTTGTCACTAAAGTATTGCTCTTTATACTTCAGTTAAAAAGGATTTGGGAACATTTTCTAAAATGACTGTAAGAAAGCTTAATTAAAGAAAGCTTTAAAAGCGTTAAAAATTCCATCGCTTGCTTCCTGTCGTTGGGTGAGTGCTTCACTTGACGTGGCTGGTCCCCCTTTCTCTTGACTGTAGGTTGCCCCCAATGATGAAGCCGTGGTGACACTGCTGTGTGAGTGGGCGGTGAGCTGCAAACGGTCGGGCAAGCACAGGGCCATAGCTGTGGCAAAGCTCCTGGAGAAGAGGCAGGCGGAAATCGAGGCAGAGGTAGGTTCAGTTTTCTTTCTGCCTTTGGAACGCCATCATTTAAAAATAAGTGTTTTGGAGAAGATTCTTTTTTCTTACTCATTATGCTATTTTTTCCTCTATCTTCAAAGAAAAAAGGGAGAATGTACAAATTCACATAAGGACTACATAAAGGATCCCTTTCAGTTGATGAAGCCAATAATTTATATTCTGGACTAATTTAGAATTGTATCTTTTAAAATAAAACTTCAACATCTGAGTTATTTATTTGTTTGTTTAAAACATTTTATTTAACAGAGAGAGAATGAGCACAAGCACAAGCAGGGGGAGCAACAGAGGGAGAGGGAGAAGCAGACTCCCCGCTGAGCTGGGAGCCCGATGCGGGGCTCGATCCCAGGACCCTGGGATCATGACCTGAGCCGAAGGCTGACGCTTAATGACTGAGCCACCAGGAGCCCCTGGGAATATTTTCTTGAGGCAGTTCTGATTTTGAGATTACAGATACCAATTTGTATTAGTTCTGAGATTGTATTTTGGCCCCAGAGAGAGCGTTTAAAGCCTCGGAAGTGGATTATGAAGGAAAAAAAAAAACAAAAAACAAAGCTAACTTGATAAACTTTAGCTTTTGTTGAAAAGAAAAAGTTTTTCAGCCAGCCCCCTTATCTGTCCGTGAGATCTGGAGGGCTGGCCAGGAGGAAGGCTGTATGTGGTGTGAGTGGCCCACCCTCTCTCTGCCCCACCCAGACCGCTGCAGGGCGCCCTCCTCTCTGCTCCTTGCTCCTCACAGCAGCGACCATCATCTTTTCAAACTGGAAGCAGATCATGTTGTCCCCTTATGCAGACTCCTGATGGCTCCTTACTGTGTCCACAGAGCCTTGTATGGGCCTCCCTGGACCGCCTTTCCCTCCTTGTCTCAATATTTTTCCCCTGGGTCACAGCTGCAGCCGCCTTGGCCCTCCTGTACCTCCAGCACCGCAAACCAGCTTCTGCCTTGGGACCTTGGTCTTGCTCTTCCTACTGGGTGGCACACTGCTCCCCAGTCTTCACATGGCCAGTTTCGTTCTGCCATTCCTAGTTTAGGAAATGTGGCTTTCTAGCATTCCTAGCTCAACATGTGTCACCTCCTCAGGAAGATCCTGCGTCACCCACCCTTCAAGTGCTCTTTCTCACAGCACTCTCTTTTCCTCTCCTTGTTGGCTTATTGTTTACTGCCTGCCTACCGCCCTCTAGAATGTAAGCTTGACAACAGGGATCTTGCCTGCCCTGTTCAATGTTATGTCTCTGGCACCCAGAATAGTGTTCAGTGCGTAGTTGATGCTCAGAAAATGTTGTATGAATGGATGAGAACTTAGCTGGTTCTCTCTTACTGATAATACTCTTTCCTGCGAAGCTCTTAAAAAATGAAACAGGAAGAATATATCTATAGACATCTCTCTCCTCCTGTTGGGAGAGTATTATTCACCAAATAAAAAGGATCACATTGTTCGACTTGGGGCTTGAAGATACTGGGTTAAGTAAGGTATGAAACACATGACCCATTTTACAATGTGCAGTTTAGGAAAGGTGTTTCATTGCTTTTTTTTCTATGAATAGATAGATCTGTGAATTGCAATGAGTAAACTTTAGTAAGTTGAATTTCTCAAATTTAATTGTTCCTTCTGAGTTGTTGTGTCACACAGGCATCCCTTCTTCCAGTGTGTTCTAGGAACACACACACAGTCACTTTTGGAAGAGGCTCACACAGATGACTTTGTAATTTTAATAGGTGTAAATGTATCCACATCTAAAAAATGTATTCTCTCAGGGTGTTTAAGATAATTGATTGTTGTTGACCCATCACCATTTTCAAAATTTGACTTTCGTGAAGAGAGGATGGATTAGGGAAATAATATCTTAATGTAATAATATATTAATATTAAAGAATAGACAATGAAAATGGGACGGTCAAAGGGATATGAAAAAGAATAGAAAACGGTTCTGATTGCTTTTGAACTGTTTCTTTTCTGGTCTTCTAGTAAATTCTGTCTTGAATGCAACTTCTCTAGATCTATGTTTCATCAACTATGGAGATTCCACAGGTTCTAAGAGATCCTAATTGGTGAAGTATGATGAGTGAAAGAATCTTATCAGAGGAATTATGTTCACTTTCTCATTTGACATCACACTTCCCAACACCCCCTGCACACACTTGTAAATACACTCACCTAGCAAGAACAAACACAAAAGCATCGAACTCCATAATAACATGCCCACAAGTTTCTCAGGGGAAGTGTATACAGTTAGTTAAGCATGAGCTATTTAAAACTGAAGACAACTTTGAGTTATTTTTAGCAGTTTTGCATAGGGATAATGAGTAGTTTATTGTACTGTGGTATATATTCGGTGGATAGTTATAACGTGGAGAGTTTACAATTTACATGAATAATGTTTTCCATGGGTGTCCTTGGAAATCATTTGAATTGTTCTGGGGTAGTTTCCCCTAACTTTGAGAAATTATATTTACCTATGACGTATAACTCTCAAATAAGTACAGAAATCTCAACTAATTTTGCATGTTTTTTTTTTTCTGACAATTTAAATGTTAATAAAAAACTAACAAATTCATGATCCATTGTGGCTACATTGCCCTCTGTAATTAACTGTGCTTGTTTATTTTTAATCTTAGAGATGTGGTGAGTCAGAGGTATTAGATGAGAAGGAGTCAATTTCTTCAGCCTCTCTCGCTGGATCTAGTTTGCCTGTTTTCCAGAATGTTCTACTAAGGTTTTTAGATACACAGGCCCCCTCATTATGTAAGTAAAGTTCTTTGCTTCTGCATCTTAAATAAGAGATTGGAGCTAATTCTTAACTCTCTTTCTTCCTTATTTGCATCTTAAGAGTTCTTGGTGATGAATATAATGTATGTTTTACTGAGCAAAATTTTGTTGTTTTTAATGGAGATTTCTATGCAATTTTAAAATTAGGTGAGCTGCAAAGACTTCAAAATTTCCAGAGTTTTAAAAATAAGTCACCTCATTCTCTAATATTTGGTGGTCTAGTTTTCTCTTTCTAGATCTTTCTTACCAAAATAGAGGAGCTAAGGCCCTCTCATGTTTCACTGTTTAAATCACTATTGTGATTAGGAATTTTCTCTTTTTGCACTGTTTTCAAAATTTCTCATTTTACAACTCCTGATAAGAAAAAAGGGAAAAGTCAAAAAAAGTACTTTATAACCAGGTCCTTGATGTAAGGAAATACTTTGTGCAGATGGCTGGCTGCTCGCCTATACTCTATGGGATGTTCTGTCATCTCCCATTCTTCTGTCTTTTATTCTATTGTTTGTGGGGAGTCAAGGGTTTGGGGATTATAAGCCCAGCAGGCTTATACTGTAAACTGATGCTTAAAAAATTCATTTGTGTGTGCTTAGCGGTCTTGATCTTATTCTGAGGCTTTCACGTGACAAAGTACAGCAAGGCGAGTCTTTGGGTAGATAGTGCTGAAACAATAGAAAATGGCATAAAGTGAAAAGTGGTAGAAAGGGGAGAAAATGCATGGAGGGGGTGGGAGGGACAGGTTTGTTGTGAAGAAGGAGGTAAAGCAGCAGGAAATAGATACTGCTTCTGATTCCTCTGAGAAGGCCCTCGTTTTGGGTTGAACGATGCTTGGGGATGAGGTTCCTTAAGTGACTTGGTGGCTGTTCTGGGCTAGGGGGAGAGCTGGAGCCACACTGATGGTTGCAAGGTGTAGGCAGCTGTAGCGAAACACGGAAGAGGAAGCAGAAAAATGGAGGACAGAAGAGATCCTAGGGAGTAGAAAATACATGGTCAGGAGTGGAAGTTAGCTGCTCTAACTTCTCTTGTATTTCTGTATTTCCGGAGGAGATGGATACACATTTGCCCTCTGTGTTCCTCAGCCTGTCTCCACTCCTGTTTGTTCTTTGGGAAGCCCTTCCTCCTCTCTGCCTCTGCTTGTTCTGGATCCCATTTCCTGCTGTCAGAGCTGCGTTAGTTCTCTGTGTAGATGTTGTGCGTCCCTGACTTCTGCGGTGGACGACAGCAAATGCTAGGGCTTAAGTGTTAGGGAAGGCGCTTCATGTTCCCTCGATCCATCTGTTATGTCTCTGTTGGTCTTTGCAAGCATGATGGTAGCAGGTGCCGAGCTTTGAAGGGTTGCTCTTAACATTTTTTAATCTCTCTCAAGGGTACAAAGTTTCAGAGTGCAGCTGCAGTATTAAAAGTCGTAACGTGAGTTAAATAGACTGGCTACGAACTGAGAAAGACTGCAGAGCTCCATCTTTGTGCCTTTTTGTCTTGCACCTTCCCTCTTTCTTTCTAGTGGATCCCATGCAGTAGTATTTTCAAGTACCTTTTGAACTGTTTTATTATAAAGTGTCCTTTGAAAGGTACACACGCATACCTCACAAATATACAGACACTCTCAAGCTATGAAAACAAGTCATGAGCTGTTTTAATAGTATAAATCAGAGAAAGCAGTTTGGCTCTGCCTTTTTTTTTTTTCCTTACCTGAAATTTTGTGTATTTCTATTATTACTTAAGTGGTTGCTCATTTGTCAGGGACCACTATCTTTAAACTTGAAATTGTGCTTAGCACACTGGATACTATTTTTCAAGTACAGAGGGACAGTCGTGTCCTTGTTCTGCACAAAATGCTTGCACCTCATAGTACATTTTCTAATAACTCTTCTGTGTAAAAAAAAAAAAAGACAATATTGTTAAGACTTCCACTCCTCTTTTTTTTTTTTTACATTTGCTTTTTTAAAAAAATTTATTAGAGCGAGCATGAATGGGGGGGGGAAGAGGGAAGAGCAGGGGAGAAGCAGACCCTCCCTCTCCTGCCGAGCAGGGAGCCCGACATGGGGCTTGATCCCAGGACCCTGAGATCATGACCTGAGCTGAAGGCAGACGCTTAACCAACTGAGCCACCCAGGTGCCCCTTGTTAAGCCTTCCTATTTGTTCCCCCCACCCCCTACTGTATCAAGGGGACTGATTGTTTTGTTTCTATGTAGCGGATCCAAACAGTGAATGTGAAAAGGTGGAATTTGTGAATCTGGTGCTGCTCTTCTGTGAGTTCATCCGGCATGATGTCTTTTCTCATGATGCATACATGTGCACCCTCATATCACGAGGAGACTTGTCAGTCACTGCCTCAACCCGACCACGGTCGCCAGCGGGAGAAAATGTGGATGAACACTACCCAAAGGACCATGACATGAAAATGGAGGTATGGCCCTGGGAGTGGTGCCCCAGCCCTGAAAACAACACTCAGCTGGGAAACCCCTTTGAGAGGATTGTTTGGTGGTGGAAGGGTGATTGCATTTTAATTGTATTCTCCTGTTAGAGAACTCATTTATCTCTACTCCTCACTAATGGGGAAAAAAAGAAGGGATATATCCATTCCAGAATTTTCTTTTGAATACTCAAACTATTAATGAAAAGATTTGATAGTCCATAACATTTTTTATTGGACAAGAATTATATGCTTCCAATTTTATGTATTTCTGATTTCCGGTTTTTCTTTAATGTTGTGCCTTAAAATCAGACTGATTTTGGCCTAAAGTTCCATTCTAAGGAACATCTTTTCCTCTATTATCCATTGCTCTGTCTTTCCTACAAAATGGGAAATACTGTTTTGATCATAGCACATCATATTTTCATTTCAATTAATTGAAAACTCTCAAATGTGGAATTGTTCTTTTCAACAAATTATTTTATACTGTGAGTATGACTTTATAATTTTCTGCCAATTTCTGGTGTTTTGGACATTGTTCTTGATACTTGAAGTTTTCAAGGCAGAAAGCATGGAGGTGGTAAAAGGAAACAGTGGAAAATGGTGAGAGCTTGTGGAGGTTCCTTAAAATCAAGCCTCATGATGGTTCTGTGAGAGCTTAAGCATATGCTGTGATGATATTTTTTAAAACACTGGTTATCCTTGTAATTGAAAGACCTGGCATTAGAGTTACATGTGTGGATTCATAGTTTGTGTTCTTAAGATTTGGTGATCAAATGGTGCGGAATTTAAAAAATTATTTCCTTGATGTAAATACTGTTTCCAAATTTGTCCACAGAGGTTATAAAAGGCTGAAAAACTAAAGTTACTTTACCTGTTTATGCTTCTTTTATGTTTCTGTTTCTTCCTTTCTATTCTTGGATATCGAGGTATCTTATTGGGTGTACTCTCAGATTTTTCTAAGAAAAGTTGGTGAGCGCATGACTGGGAATAGCCTAAAGAAAGGAGGGACATTATGGCCGGTTTGTTTAATGTTTTTAAGTTTGTGGGCTCTTTCCTTCAAGTATCATGAAAGGTAAAATCTCATGAGGATAAAGAATGTGACTTTGCAAAGCAAGTGCATGTCTTAAAACTTCTCTTTTTTGGGGAAAAATAGATACTAGGGAGAGAAAAGACCTAGGGTGGTTAAAAACATCACTGTCATATTTTAGCTTCAGTTTTTTCATGAACTGCAAAATTTACAGTGTCACTTTCTTTCTCTGGTAATTATCAGGAACAGACTATAATGGCGCATATGGGCATTGACTCAGGAACTACTAATATTTTTGATGAAGTAGACAAGAATGACTTTAAAACTGACTTTGGTTCGGAATTTCCAGTAGGTTCAACCTTCAAATTCTTATTGACTATTAACCCCTCTTCCCCACCCCTCTCCCAGCTTGTCTCCATCCTTCTGTTCCTTGCCCCACGTACTGGAATGACTTGTGTCCCTGTGATGTAAATGTGATCCTACCATATTCCTTTTTAGGGTACAGTAACTCATCTTGTACAATTGTCTCATTTCAGTTCATCCTTAGTTTTAGTTGCATTGTCTCCTTTGTAGAGTAGAACACTCCTGTCCTCCTAGTTGACTGTGACTATTTTGTTCATCTTGAGACCATCATCTCTCAGGAATAGATGAATAGTTTCATCATGACAGTCCATGTTGATGTGCTATGTATGTGTTCAGTTTCTAAATAATAGCTTTCCTGGCTCTGGACTTGTTATGCTTTTTCTACTTTATCTCCATATAATTATAGTATTTTCTTCCTTATGGATCTCAGTGAGGTGCTTTATAAAAAATACTGTTTGGGGTACTGACTAAAACTTTTATATCTGTTACTCATTAGGTTTGTTAATTATTTCTGTGTATATGTTTTTGTAGGAAATGTAACCCTGTGAGGAAACACTTAACCTATGAGTCTGATGTTGTCTCTGGTCCTTTGGGAAGTGTAGCTTTGCATGATTCTTACATGTGTGGTTGTCATTTTCGTATCTTCAAAATGGGAGATGATGTTGATAGTTTCCTACTAATCTTAATATGAATTTTGTGGAAATTAACAACAGTTTCTTTATTTTCTTTATATATTTTCTCAGTGTTTAAAGAAGGAAGAGATAGTGTAGGAGTGTCTTATGTGTTTGGAGCTCTGGTATGTAGCGCTGTGTTTTGGTGTTGCTCTCTTTCATTTACAATCTCCAACATTTATTTTACATGACTTAGATTTTTTCTCCCATGCCTGGAGAATCCTGTGAGAATGCCAACCCTTCCTTGGGCAGAAGAATGTCGGTTAATGGTGAGAAGTTGCTTAAGAGAGAAAAACCCAGGGAGCTAATTTTTCCATCTAATTATGACCTTCTGCGACACCTGCAGTATGCAACCCATTTTCCCATACCTCTGGTAAGTCACAGCTTTGATCAGTTGGCAGCCTTGATTGTTTCATTATAAGATCATTAACCATCAACTGTTCTACTTGCCTGAGTAATACATATGAAAGCAGGTGAGTTTTTCATTTACTCCTTCTTTTGTTACAATTATGATTGTATAGCATATGTACAGTTGTAGTTCAAATTTGTGATGGGATACTACTGGCTAGCTAGAATTAATGGAATTTTCTAGGTTATTATCTTTTTATCAAGAGCATATGAGTGACTGCAAATGACATCTAAGTGTGTTTTCCTACTTCATTTGAAACTCATTTACTGAGTAGCTTTTATGTGCACTGTATTGTGGTAGGTACTTGGTATTATACAGATGAATGAGAATTTTAGGACACAGGAAAGATGAAAAAGATAGGAGGGAGACAAATGTGAAATGATACACACTAAAATAAATGCAATAATTTAGTAAAAACCCAAGTGCCTACTGGAAGGTGAACTGTTTGACATTCCTGGGTCTCTTCCACTCTCAAAGAATAAATATTGGAGGGGAGAGAGAGCATCTGATTGCAAAGTTGGGTAAGGCTTCATAGAGGAGGTTGTATATGGCATGGACTTGGATTTCAATCTAATGAATTTAAGAATTGAATAGCATATGAGAAATACCGGGAAATTTAGTGTTTGACTCATAACAAGTGATGTGCTTTTTACTAAAGGGAAACAAGATTGGTTTTTTGATATTAATGAAAATTGGGCAGAATCTGTAAATGTGTTTATATTTTTAGGTTTATCTTTTTTCCTGGGATTTTAAGAGAAATTTTAATGAGCCTTTTTTTTTTTTTTTTTGCATGCTATTATTATTTTAACAGCAGTGTAATTGTGACATATATATAATGTTCTGGATATCTTTGAGGAGTTCTCTGCAAACTAAATATTTTCTTAATTTTTAATTTTTGTTATTTTGGAACTTTCCCTCCAAAAATTTTTTTACATGTATTTTTTATTACAATTAAGAATCTTCTTTTTAATGTCAGTTTTTCTGCCCAGGACTGTGTCAAAAGTTGTCCCAATTCTTTCTTGCTCATCACTGGCTGAATAAATTTTTTTTTTTTTTTGCTTTACCTGTACATATGACTCATTTCCAACATAATGGAATAATCTCACTGTGCATTTAGGGCAATAGAAAGGATAGCCTGATATTTTAGAGATGTGTCCTGAAGAATTTATGGATGAATATTATAATGTCTGGGATTGGTCTTAAAATAGTTGGCATCAAAAGGGGGGGGCAGGATATTGAAGTCTGGAGTTCAGTTAACACTTAATGGACCAATGTTAATTTCCTACTTTTGGCAAATGTATCATGGTGATGTAAGCCATTAACAGGGCTAATGGGATGAAAGGTATATGGGGACTTGCTGTACTATCTATGTACCTTTTCTGTAAATCTTAAAGTATTCCAAAGTAAAAATTTAAATAAAAAGGAGAGGGGTAATAAAGCAAATAGGGCAAAATGTTGAATATGGTTGAAATTGGTTGAGGATTCTGTGTTCTTCTCTTGGATAGGCAGAGCTTTGCTCGCCTCCCTCTCCCATGTGTCTTGGTGTGCACCCAAGCACAGACATCTCTATTCTGTTGTTCATGTGATCCTTGTCTACACAGTCATTCCCAGCATGTAGCATTCTAAAGATTGTCCACCTCCTTAGAGGAAGGAGCATGAATGATTTCTGGTGATTAAGTCTCTCATGATGGATTATGACATAACTGTAATGCAATCATAACACAACTGCTGGAAAATATATGTTGTAGGATATAATTTTTTAATAGCCTTCTATCACCAGTTGTCCTAGGCCTCCCTTTACTCTGAGTGTCATTTGGAATAAAACATCATCAAGGGGAAATGAACGTATATACTAATGTAACATTGACATTAGGAATGCTGTAGAGAGTCTGGTTCTCTTCCTTAATAAAGAGGGAAAATTTGACTAACGTATCATGCATGAATGTGGGAAGCATATAAGAATATGATTGAAAAAAAAAATTGCTCCCTCCCACCCCCCTTTCTATCTTCACTCACACTTAGTGAAGACCAAGGAGAGAAGACTAATGGGGACTTGACCAAAAGATTCAGGAAAAGCAACTAGTAGTTTCACATATGCTCATATGAATCATGTCTTGATCTGCCGGTCAGTAAAAATACGTTAGACCATCAGCAAGCACAGGTTCTAGCGGGCTGGCATTTCAGCAGATACGTGATGCTGGGGGGGGGTTCCTGTCATGACCACTAGCTAGCTAGAATTTGTCCGGGACTCACCATGGTAGAAGTGTGATAGGCACTTTTTTTGGGTGCATTTTCTCATATATTACTCTCTTCAAACTCAGAAGATACTGAAATTGTACACCAGAATTTTCTTGGGTTCAAGCTTCAGAAAATAATTCTTCTCAATACAGAACTAAAAATGACTCTGGAATCAAACTCGTTTTGTTAGTTTCCAGGAATACCTTCCCTCCCCCCCCCTCTTTCTTTCTTTCCACAGATGGGAAAGTTTATTAAAGTGAAAAGTACACTCTTGAGATACAAGAGTGGGTGAGCTCAAGAGAGCTGCCAGGAACACCATTTCTTAATCACTGCAGCTAATGCAAATGTATTACCAATTGTTGCAATACAGGCTTTTGCTATTGAAATGAAGCCTGCCTCCCCAAGTCTCAGGTATCATTACCTAAACTTTTCAATTTTCTTTTTCCCAAATAAGTCTTTTATTTTATACCATCTCTCGAGCCCTTTCTGCATTACTGGCAGTAGAGAGAATTTGATCTAAGGGTTGTGACCCTGAGAACTGGAGTCCCCCATTCATTAAATTGCAGGCCCCATGTGGGGTCAGACTCAGACATGGCGCCAATCAGCCCAGCATGTGCTGTGTTCCCTACAAGGTCTTGCTGTGTGTGTATCTGGCATGTCTATTTTAAGGCCATTTGACTAGTACTGTTTTTCCATATCTTTGATGTGAGTTTTTAGTTCCAAAACAGTACTTTCAAGCAGTCAGTGTAGTTTAACAACTTGCTTGAAAATGTTGTAGGGTCTGTTTCATGTTACTACAAAATAAGGAATCACTGAATTTGTCATTACTTAGGGTAGAAAGTCTTTATTTATAACCTACTGATAGAATGTAAGTATATAAATACATTAAAAACTACCCATGTATTTCCAAGCCTTTTTAGAAGTAAACAGTTTTATTTACTGTGTTACAAAACAATTAGATATTAAAAATCAGAGTAGTGAGCTAAAAGGTTACCATCTTTAAAATGATGGATTAAAAATAAATCAGGCACAGGTGGTTTCATGTAAAAATCGGCTGGACTTTTTTTGGTATGATCTAAATGGTTTTATTTAAATTGTGTTGCATATTTTTATCAAGAAGTCAGTTCCCGGTATTTAAATGAATACCTCACAAATGCCTTTGAGTCTGTCATAAAACTCCTTGAGATTTCAAGGATAGTGCAAGGTTTTACATTGGTTCAACAGCATCTTTTAGTTTTTTTGTACAAATATTTGGGTTAAGGATCATTAACAACCACAAGAGTACTGCTTGGCTTACATTTAGAAACAGTTTCTCAGTAAACCAGGCCACATATGCTAGCTGTCCTTTTTACTTAGGCTCTTTGCTCTCTTTCCCATAGAGGCAGGAAGTGATAGCATGAGAAATCCCATATTTTATGCACTGTTTTCACCATTTGATTTTTCTTTTGGAGCTTTGGTCTCCTTATGTGAAGCAAAAGTCTTGGTAACTGTTAAGCGGAATGCTTTTGAGAGGTGATAGTACAAGACAGGATCAAAACACAGGTTTGACACAGCAAGGAGCAGTGTGGCCTCTTTGGCTTTGAATAGTGAAATCCTGGTTGGGCAATCAGATATTACCTCTGTCTGGCTCAGGGTGTATGGGATTCGGACAATGTGATACGGAACAAAACATATGATGTAGCCTGTAGTCACTAAAAGGATGTTGATGAGGGCTTTTTTCACATATGGATAATTTTCATTATCTTTGTTTCTGTAGAGTTGTCGAATTACAAGGCAGTTAGATATTAAAATGATGGCTGAGAAATTTAAAAATATTGCCACACATATGAAATTTGTCAGCAAATGCCAGTTTCTGCCAAAATCCCTTTTGAATTCCATGCATCCCACATTTGGCTTCTCCTCGATGTCTCTGATGGGAATCATCATGTTGGGCACTGTTATAAGAAGAACCATTAGCCACACCACGGTCGATATCATTTTGGCAAATCCAGGTTCTTGGATCCGATAAATCTTGGAGCTGTATGTCAACTGAAGACAGCGATCAATGCTGACAAATGCCAAGAAGATAATTGATAAGTACATATTAATGTAGATGAGGCAGGCTGTCACTTGGCAGTGGAAAATCTTCAGCTTCCAGGGTGCCACACCCAAGTCGACAACGATTTTTACTGGTAATGCCAGAGTCAGCAGGAAATCAGCCGTAAGCAAATTAATTAAGTATATGCTTACACACCTGTGATTTGTGTTATTCTGTATAAAAGCCCAGGTTGCAAAACCACTTCCAATAATTCCAACAAGAAACACTAAATAAAAAAAATATGTGAATGGCTCCAGATCTCTGTAAACTGGGCAGAAGATAGAACTGTTTGTCATCTTGAGGGGAAGTAAGGATGACTCTGTTAAAAAAAAAAAAAAAAATCCAAAGAATCTGTTTAAAAAGAGGGGTGGGAGAGGGAGGTTAGTAATTAAAATTAGAAATGATTTTCTTTAAAAACATCTGTACTCATAACACCTGGGTCACAATTTTTCTGATTTTTAGATAGAATTTTATTGGTGAAACATCATAGATTGTAAGGAGGCCTGGGTTTTCCATGGTCTGATTTCATGATTTTGGGAAATCCCATATAGGTTTGCTTTTTTGACATCACACTTTTGCATTCTGATAGCTCTTTTGTTACCACTTGGGTTGGAAGGTAGTTTGCAGAGGAGATAAGTGAACTGAAATT